GTGTGTGTGTGTGTGTGTGTGTGTGTGTGTGTGTGTGTGTGTGTGTGAAAATCAATCACATAAGCACTCTTACCGATGACTCGGACAGCAATCTCGGCCGACTTTTTACCGAATCCACCAACAGCATGACAACTGTAACGCCCGGAATCCTCCAGCTTGGCCGATCGAATCCGGAACACTTGATTTTCTGACAGTATTNAGATTGAGATCCTGACCGACACGAATTAGGTAGCCACGACGTGGAGTTGCACGTGGTTGAAGAGGACCCGGAGCAGTGTCTGTGAGACGGATTGCAAACCGAGACCGGGTAGGAGAGCAGAGAATTGAATGAATTGGATCGCAAATCAAACTACCATGTGATGCAACAACGATTACATGTTCGAAATCTTTCGAGAACTACTTCGTTTATTTGGAATGGATTCAGTAGACTGCTGTAATCGGTACCATTGGGATTGCGTCGACTCAGCAGGACATACCATTTTCTGACCCAATAGAGGTGAATTCAACAATTCCACTGAAGGTGCGTCAGTCAACACTCGGTGTGTGATGATGATGGTGGGGGTGGGATATGCACGTGCATTTGAACGAACCTTACATAGGCCAGAGCAAATCCAGATATATGGGTCACCGTGTCAACCGGTTGCCATAACAAAGAAGTAGTTTAACAGACAAGTACGGATTATCATCTGATATCACTCTGATTTGTGTCAGATAGACGGTAGATTACGACAAACAGATAGGGCTGTGCAATTGACAAAGATAGTTTTGCTCTCTGCCCCCGACTCCATCAGGACAACTCTCGCAGTCTTGTACTCGCTCTGTATCTATCTATCTATCTATCGCTTTTACAGATGACAACTGATCATGTCTTATCTGACAGGTTTGAAAGAGGTCAACTACAAACAATGATCACTTTTGGGTCAAATGAAGACAGATTTGACCGGAAAAATGTGTGCACGCGTTTATAGGTCGAAAATGCACCGGTCATTTGGAAGAATATTTTCACTCAAGATGACTCAGTCGTGCTACCGTGCGTGGTTCCACAATATGCAGTCAAACAAGTCGGACAAAAGAGTACATACCACCGAACATCTCCCACCCCCTCCATGTTCTCGTGTAGGATTTTCCCAGACCGGTTGTTTGACAGGTTCGTGTCAGACCTGACTGAGGAGGCGGATTGAGCGGGCGGAGAGAGAGAAATGACCCCTTTTCCCTGGGTGCGCATGTATGCCACAGCAACTGGGGAAAAACAACGCTTTCAAAAGCAGTGGCAATGGTAGTGGNTAGTAATAGTAATAGTAGTAATAGTAATAGTAGTAATAATAATAATAATAATAATATCAGTAGGCGTCATCACCCAAGTAGTAGTAGTGGTGGGAAAGGTGGGAAAGCATAAGAAACCGAACAGCATACGGTGCAAAATGCCAGTAACAGCAGTTGCGGATGTACAGAACCGTACCAACGAAAGGAAATGAAATTCAGTTCGCAATAACAGTGATTATCTGTATATATGTACACACACACACACACACACACACACACACGCACACGCACACGCACACGCACACAAGCCCAGTGAGAAAACAATGTCGGTCAGCAATACTCTCTTTGGCCTCTACTTAGTTTGAGGCACACTGATACCCGTACCTATTGCCATTGTCAATATGGGACCGGCGCACGACAACTGTGTGTGTGTGGTGCAAGTAGAATGGTGCATTGCGGTGTGGTACGGACGCTAACCCAACTGCCAGCAATCCGGTCAACCTGCCAACCGAGTGCAATGAGTGCTGTGCATGGCCTGTGCAAACAACAAATAAACACCAACACACGGGGGCACAAGCACAAGCACAGAATCCGGCTAGTGACAACTGAAACGTCGGCCTGTTCACGACTTTTACCGACTAATTCGCATACGCACTTGTCTTTCCGAGGATAGGCCAGAGCGGTGAGCTAAGGTTACTACTCTTATGTATTTATACAACCCGAACGATAGTGCAAATAACAGGTGGCTGATAACGAACAACGGACTGCAAACACCAACAACAACAACCATCACAGTGACAACAAAACAATGAAGGGTGACGATGAACCAACGGAGTGACGTGCTCTGGCTGCATATACTCCCATGTAGTGTTGAACTCTGAGGAGATGCTTCTATGCGGCGGGTATACACGAAAAAATCGTGCACGTCACACTGCCATACACAAGCACATACACTTGTTAGGGATGGGTACTGTGACCACGACGGTGGGTTGACCGGCGGGGGTGAGTTTGTGGGAAGGACGAGACGATTCACTGGTTTCTTCCCAAACGAATAGTAGAAGTAGAGGACCGCAAACCCCGGCCAATTAGTTGTTTACACAGCTGTGTTTTTGTGTTCACCTCCATACATGGTGACGCACACAGAAAGTGAAAGGGGAAAAACAATTAAATGGAAATATCATTGTTTTGTTTCCTCGGTGTGTACATGAGGTGAACCACGAATTCCGGCTTGAACGAGCGGCACACGTGAGAAAATGCAAGTAAACACTTTGGAGGGGTGTGTGTGTGTGGCCTAATCCTCACAAACAAAAACGAAAATAGGCGGATTCGAGGTTGATCGGAAGTGCTCCTAACTGGATCGCACCAGCTTGCCCGATGCCGATTTTTTCAACGAACCGTACAAAACGAACACATTTCGCATGCTTTAGCCGCTTGATCCGAATCGTTTGGGCAAGTTGGGAACAAACAGGAGGAGGAAACTCAGGACACATCCCATATATATGTGTACTGGAAAACTATCAATCTCCTTTCATCGTGGTGAGATGATATTTGGATGAACAGTTAGTTACAACAAATTTTCTTTTCGAATGACCTGCGTTGTCTGCGCCAAAATGGACCGGAATCGAACAAAGTACACGTAGTAATTATAATACTAGTGTTATAATTCCAGAAGACGGTGCTGGTCGAAGATAATTGCTTATTGGGGATTTCAGATGGGACATCACCAATTTGGCATACATAACGCAAAAAATTAATCAGAAAAATACCACCGCAGTTCCTGTCTACTCGACGGGTAATTAATGTAGAAATCGATGGTTCTTCTTTGAGACCCAGCAAATTGCCCTCAGTGATCTTGTTGATTTTTGGTCGTTGAAAGTAATCATCAACTATGTTACCTACTACTCACAAGTGCGTAATATCTCATAACAGTACTAGTAGTAGTAATATTAGTATATCTGATCCGGTAATTCGTGCCTTTGTTCGATTTTCCTAGACGAGAAGCTGTGTTTCTGTGTGTGTGTGTGTGTGTGTGTGTGTGTGTGTGTGTGTGTATTCGACAGTGGCAACAGGACGTTCAAATTGCATTCATGTCACACGCTAGCGAGTCCTGAGATTGAAGCTAACACACAAAAAACGAACTGATTGAATGGTGATCAATGCAGACAATCAAATATGTGACATGTTAGAAAGATAAACAAATCAATTTTCAAACTGGTCGGACATAGTCCGAGGGAACAATTTTCTGTGATGAAATACAGCATTCTCACCAACACACCGAAAAAAGGCAGAATTTTAAAAAGTTAAGATATGAATCGAAAAATTGATTACATAATAGTCGAACAGTATTTGAGCTGATTCAAGAACACCCAAGAAAGCTGACAATTGTGAGGTTTAGACGTTATGTTCCGTTGTGATCAAGTGAAACAAACCAACTGGTTGATAACCTTCCTGGACGGGCTACGATGAGGCTTAATTTTATTCCCGATGGGTTTATTCAAAGTACAGTTCAGATTATGTTGTCTGTTTGAATTATGAAAGCCTTAGTAGTCTCAGCTTTCATGTGTGATTTCGAATCTCAACAAGGCCACTGAACGTTTGCAATTCAAAGCATAGTTACCCATGCAAAACTCAGTGGACGAATCTCAACTGAACCATTTTGGGGGCTTCTGCTTCTCATCATCGGTAGTGTGTTTAGAATAGAATGAAATAGAATAATGACAACAATTAACAATCGAGTCAATGTTTCAAACACATTTTTCCAGCTGTACAATTGTGAGTTCAGATCTCCTCTAGCACATTAAAAATGTCGATTAAGTCACGTTGGACAACGACGATGGAGGAACCGAACAAAGAGGGAATACAGTTACGGTAACGGCAACAACCGGAATATTAGCCAACTGCAAATAGCCAATATGGTAATTACTACGGTAACACCTAAGTCCTATTCCTTTGTTTCACCATAGTCAATCTGGGAAAATATGATTTGGTGTAACCGGAGATGCTCATTCGACAATCTGCACTCCTATACTAATCAATCAGGAACAAACGATTCAGAAGCCATTTTTGCCCGAGTGTACGAGCAGCGTTTATCCAGCGGTCAGTGGTCAGCGTGACAGTAACTCAGAGGTCATGAGTACAAATCGTGCAACCGCAGCTCAGCTTCCCTCTTAGATACATCTTCAGACAGCCTTTGATCGACTGCAGCCCTTTCCGTCTGTCCTACGAGCATACCTAGTAATCGAAAAGGAACTAAAAGATCATGAGTATTTTTACATGCATTTAGTCGATGAATTTAACTTGACTGATTATCGGTTAGGCAAACACAGTACCCTCTCTGTCTAAGTGCGACCAGAAATGACAAATATTACCGGTATTCGGATGGTCGAAAATCAGTCAGTACTTCACAGAAAAATCCACATGCCGGCAGATGCTAACATATCAACGTAATAATCCCAAGGACTTTTGATTGATTGATGGCAGGATAGAGCAGAGATTTTATAAAGAAAACAAAGAAATGAAACAAGTTCGAACAGTTCTCAACGAAATGAGTACGCATTATGTTTTTTCTCAACTAAGAACTTCCAAATAACATGAAGTATCCCCATTTCTGACGGAGAAATCTGGAACTGTTTATTATAACACAGATCAGGTGGTCAAGAGAAACGTGCATACAGAAATATATAGTTGTGTAATTTTGGAATCATAACATCCATCACTTATTATTGAATGAATAAATTAAATGGAAATAGGATGAATGAAAAATAATAATATATTGAACAAATGAAATCAATGAAATCAATCGAAAAAAAATGATCGAATTGGTTTAAAATCGATAGATAATATTGATCGATCGACTGACTTAATCCCAGTGGAATAATTAGGACTCAAATTTAATGGACCATGGAAGCACTTTGTGATGCTTATCACGAGGGAAATTGGCAGTAATAGCTTGGGAAAAAGTGGAATTTCACCAGTCCATTCGAGCAGATATAGTGTCACGATTGACATCCCGGGGAACAGAACATTCCGAATAATATTTTAAACTGGAATAAATGCTGGCAAATTTTGGACAAATTCATTCGCAGTTTATCAAAACAATGTCCGTCGCATTCCGATTGCGAAACTAATTCAATTTGAACGCTGACCATATTTGTGATGAAGAAGCGAAGAGAATAGTGCCCTGAAGTGAGTTCTCAAATAGTTAACTATCAAATTCTTTTGCTATTTTGAAGTCATACAACAGAACTTTATACAGTATTAAAAACTAGCTCAATTTGAAATTCAAAAAGTCAAAATTGCATTAGTTTGCACAGTTTTACAATCAACAGTCACATTGTCCGATTAGAACCATTTGCCTTAGCCACAAGCATTACTTCTAGTTTCACTGGTGGGAGCTAGTCCCCGGTTAATTTTGATGACCAGTACTCACATGTAGCATACAAATTGGCCATAAAACCTACAAGATAGTTCGTTTCATGGGGATTTCAACTCGGCAACGGATAACACGTCGCCGTTTTCGTTCACACTTCAAATTCTGTTCATTATTGAGAAGAAAGCGGACAAAGTGTCGTGGATAAATTAAAAATTGCTCGCTTCTACGAAAACTGTCTCATGAGCACACGTCTGTCTATCTGTTTGTTTATCTCTGTGTCTGTGTGTGTGCGTGTGCATAACACCAATGCTTTCTCACAACTGTCAGAATCAGCTAGACCGACTATACTGATCCCCATCCAAGTCTGCGATTTCATCTGTTCCTCCCTGTGACATAGAAAAGTCTGTCTTCAACACGCTCATCCGTTAAAAAGGAACTGTATCGAGAGAGAGAAAAATGCGTCGATAGTTCTT